CAAAAACAAATCAGTCAGCCATTTTCAGCTGAATTTATAAATCAAAGTGGTATGCATCAACTACCCATAGTGCCCACCAAGAAAATTACCGGTACCACATAAACACATTACCAAGATCTGCTTTCGTTTATGTCAAAATATCTGATTTTAGTGCATTTTTACAACAAAAATGGCGGCCAGTCAGCCATCTTCGACAGCCATTTCACACAATTCACTCTAACAACCTGCCTTAAAAAAAAAACTCAATGCACACAAAAAAACTCAATTTGCATTTTAGTTGCCAGTATACAAAAGTGCAAGCATGGTATTTCTAGTATACATGTACATCTGCAATTCAAACTACAATATGGATATCGTAACATAATTAATAACAAGGTCATTTCAGCATCATGTTTGAAATCATTAAATTAGTCACGAAATTACAATTCCTGAGATGAATACGTCCTTTGTTTTATAAGCTGCATACTAGAAACCGTCAAATTCCAGTTTTGTGCAGTTTTACAATGTGGCTTGTTGTAATTAAAGCCAGTGAAATTAACTGTATTTCCTCTATTAGAAGAGAACATACATGTATGTAATTTAAATATAGATACATTTCGGTTTCCGAGTTGAATATTTTGTATTCAAATAATTAAATGGAACTAAACAACAAGGAGAAATCATTCCCTATGATATATGATTGTAAACCTTTTCACCACCAGTTCACTCTCTTCATCACAAATTCACAAAATAGTCTCATTTATAGTCTGAACTTACTTTCAGAACATTGGGACAACTTGAAAGAGACAAATATTTTTGTGTAAAAACTGAAAAATGATGCAAATTTTGTCTGTTGGATCCAAAATTAGGGTTCATTTCCAAAAATATTGAAGGATACAGGAAAAAAGTGCTGAAAAATGTGGGTGAGAAAATCTTGTGATTAAAGAAGAATAATCGACAGTTATTTTTGCTGTTAGGAAATTTTGTGATTTGGTGTCATTTGTGACAAAATGTGACGAAAGTTAAGTGTCTTCATCAATTTTCATGGTACAAATTTCAGGATTTCAATGACTCATGAAATTAGCCAGTGAAATTCAAACCGACATTAATCATATTGTAAACTGAGGATGACAGTGTTGTTTAATCTAATATTAAAGTGTAAATATTGGTTGCCTAGCTACACAGCTGTTCATAGTCATAAAAAACATTAAAAGTTTTTGGTATTCTAACAAAACTTTCAGTTGAAAAATTAAAATTAAAATTAAAATTTGAATTTGAATTTGTAGGTTCTCTAAAATTATTATGACAATGGTTTTACAATATTTTTACATGTTGTAAAGGGCTGACCAGTAGACTTTCAGGAGGTTACACCACATTTATTACAACATAATGAAAGTTAACAAATTATATATGCTATTTTTTTTCAGAAGATGCAAAATAGCAAGTTGATCGGTTGAAAAAATTCATGAAAACACAAATGCCCCAAATTGTTGCCATTTTTGTCAAAAATTCAAGATGGCGGACAAACTATGTGACTGATCAATTTTTTTTCTCAGAATAATTATACTTAAGCCATACATGCTACATGCAAAATATCAAGTTGATCAGTTAAAGTGGGAGGGTCGTCACCTGCGCACACGTGGGAATTGAGTCCCAAGCGATGATAACACACGCTTGGAATGCAAAGACTCATGAGTAAACGCTTGTTTGTAAACAATGACATACTATGGGCACCTGACGCATGAGTAGGTGACGACCCCCTCGCATTAAAGCACTCATGAGAAACAAATGCCTTAAAAATTTTGTCATTTTAGATGAAAATTCAATGTCGACAGAATCATGTGACTGATCCAAATTATTTGTTTGCTGTTCAAAATAGTTTGGAATATAAAAGTGCAAACATGGCAAATTTCAAAATATTTGGTTAAATATGGCATCAAGCTGTATAAAAAAACTACTTCCTGTTTTGAAGAAACCACTTGATCAATCACAACAAGCTTCGCACAAACTGTAATGAGCAATATACATGTACATGTGTAATATACAATGTGTTCAGTGGTTTCAGATCAATGCGTTCAGTGGTTTCAGATCAATGCGTTCAGTGGTTTCAGATCAATGCGTTCAGTGGTTTCAGATCAACGCGTTCAGTGGTTTCAGATCAATGCGTTCAGTGGTTTCAGATCAACGCGTTCAGTGGTTTCAGATCAACGCGTTCAGTGGTTTCAGATCAATGTGTTCAGTGGTTTCAGATCAATGTGTTCAGTGGTTTCAGATCAACGCGTTCAGTGGTTTCAGATCAACGCGTTCAGTGGTTTCAGATCAACGCGTTCAGTGGTTTCAGATCAACGCGTTCAGTGGTTTCATATCAACGCTTTCAGTGGTTTCAGATCAACGCGTTCAGTGGTTTCAGATCAACGCGTTCAGTGGTTTCAGATCAACGCGTTCAGTGGTTTCAGATCAACGCGTTCAGTGGTTTCAGATCAACGCGTTCAGTGGTTTCAGATCAACGCGTTCAGTGGTTTCAGATCAACGCG